AGGCCCCTTTCTCCTCCTTCTCCTCCTTCTCCTCCTTCTCCTCCTCCTCCTCCTCCTTCTCCTCCTCCTCCTTCTTCACCTCCTCCCCCAAGCTGCATCTCCCAACGAGCAGCATTCAGGGCTCTGCTCCACACTTTGGGTGGGATGTGGAGCTTAGAGTCATGGAATGGTTTTGGTTGGAAGGGACCTTCAAGATCCTGAGTCCATCCATCCCCCAGCCCTGCCAGGTCCCCACTGCCCCGTGTCCCTCACCCCACATCTCCACGGCTTGGCAAACCCTCCATGGGGACTCCACCACTGCCCTGGGCAGCCTGGCACAGCCCTGGGCAACCCTCCAGGGCAAGAAATTGTTCCTCAGGGCCAACTGAAACCTCCCCTGGGGTGACTTGAGGCCCTTTTCCCTCCCTCCAGGCTCCTGTCAGGAGCTGTGCAGAGCCAGAAGGTCTCCCCTGAGCCTCCTTTGCTCCAGGCTCAGCACCCCCAGCTCCCTCAGCTGCTCCTCCCCACACTTGGGCTCTAGACCCTTCCCCAGCAGCTCCGTTGCCCTTCTCTGCCCACGCTCCAGCCCCTCCAGCTCCTGCTGGGAGGGAGGGAGGAGCCCAAAACCACCCCCAGCACTCGCGGGGTGTCCACCTCGGCGCCGAGCCGTGACCCCTCCTTGCCTCTGCTCCTGGGTGGGTGGTTCCCCTTTGCCCCCAGCTACCTGAGGCCCTGGTGGTGGGCAGAGAGCCCCAGTCTCACACCCTCTGCCTGCCCCCCAGCCCCATGCTGACGTACAGGGTGGATGCTGACAAGGGCTTCAACTTCTCCGTGGGCGACGACGCCTTCGTCTGCCAGAAGAAGAATCACTTCCAGGTCACAGTCTACATTGGCATGCTTGGAGATCCCAAGTATGTGAAGACCCCCGAGGGCCTGAAACCTTTAGAGTGCTTCTACTTGAAGCTGCATGGAGTGAAGGCAAGTGGGGAGGTGGGGAGTGGGGCAGATGGGTGGGATCAAGCAACCCCCCCCCATCTTCAGGTGTAGAGGAGCGTGTAGGAGAGGGCTGAAGGCCAGAAGAAGGCAGATCTTTGCAATAGGAGTCCTAAGGTGGACTCAGATCCCTGCTTGGGTGTCTTCAGGGCTGCCTCTCACTCAGCTTTGACTCCAGAGGTGTAGAAACCCTTTGGGGAGCTCCTCTCCCCCCCTCAGCTGCCTCTGTGCCAGGAGGGGCACCCACGTTTGGACGATGAGCACGCTCAAGCTGGGTGTTGCACAGCCCAGGAGGGTTGGGCAGAGAGCTGGGCTGTGCTGAGGAGAAGGAGGTGGGAAGGGGAAGGTCTCAGTTGGCTGCTCGTTGTCACGTGCCCAAAATTTTCTTCTCCAGCTAGAGGCTTTGAACCAGTCCATCAACATCGAGCAGTCCCAGTCCGACCGCAGCAAACGGCCCTTCAACCCTGTCTCGTGAGTGCTGCCCAGGGCTGGGCACAGGGGGGGCTCCAGGGGTACCCCTGCCCCAGAGGTGGGCACTGCCCCAGCCCTGGCACCCTCCCAGAGAGGTGGGACAGGGCTCTGAGCAACCTGCTCTGGTTGGGGATGTCCCTGCTCCCTGCAGGGGGGTTGGACTGGACCTCTAAAGGTCCCTTCCCACCCAAACCAGGCTGGGATTCTGGGATTCCAAGGGGCAATGGGCAAGAGCAGGAGAGGGAGGGGAAGGGGGCTGAGTTGGGGGTCTTGGGATGGTGTGGTGGATGCCACAGTCTCCACGTTTTCCCCTCTGTCCCCCTCTGTTTTTCTCTCTTTCCACTCCCCACTCTTCTCTCTGCCCAGTTCTCTGCCGTGGTGGGGCCAACCAGATGGTCCTTCCCCAAAGAACCTCCTCTCCATCACCATCCTCACTCACTCCTCTCTCTCTCTTCCCTTCCCCAGGGTCAACCTGCCTCCAGAGCAGGTCACCAAGGTCACTGTGGGGCGACTGCACTTCAGTGAGACCACGGCCAACAACATGAGGAAGAAAGGCAAACCCAACCCAGACCAGAGGTGAGGGGCCCTGGCACCTTCCCCAGGCTGCCCTGAGCCCTCAGGACCTGTGCACGGGCCAGTTTTGGGGTTGGAGGGAGGGGGGCAGGTCCTGCTTGGCCATCCTTGTCTGTGTGGAGGAAAGGAGGTGTCTGTTGTGGCCACAAGAAGGGTCTCCTCAACTCTGTGAGAGGTTGGGGACAGTGCCTGTGCCCTGTGGCACAAGGAGAGGGCACGTGCCAAGCTCTCCACAACAGATCCATGCCACAGGCTCCAGATGGGAAGGAGACTCAGCAGCTCCCAGAGCAGGATTGGCACCCTGAGCTCTCTCCCCTCTTGGCAGGTACTTCATGCTGGTGGTGGCCCTGCAGGCACACGCCCAGAACCAGAACTACACGTTGGCAGCTCACATCTCCGAGCGTATCATCGTCAGGGTGAGTCCCCCTGAGCCCCCCTCAGCCTCCAGGGGAGCCCCAGCAATGCCCCCAG